GTAAAGATCAGACACCTGGCAGGTCAGGGTGGACTCCTCCCCCAGTCTCAGGTGGTCCTGACCTGTGATCACGGGGGCTGATGGGAAGGCTGGATGCAGCAGAGACACAGAGGACAAACACTGAAACAGCAGAGACCAGGTTTCTGTACAAGACCTCCATCAGAGACTCAAGACAAGATTCTGCAGCGACACAGTGCTCAGCTCAGAACCTGGTTACACAGTGTGTATTGCAGCATGTTACAGATTTTCTACTTCAGGGTGAACTCACAGTACACATGCACAGAGGTTTTGATCTGCCTGTTCTCGCCTCGACAGCTGACTTTACACAGCAGAGTTACTTCGTGCTCCACCATTACGGGGTCAAAGATCACCACAGACTGGGTCCTGTTTGTGTTGACTTTGGCAGTCAGAGGCCGGTCCTCCAATAAAGACCAAGAGATGCTCGGCCTCACGGGACAGTCATGAACCGTGCAGATCAGCAGCTGACGCTCCCCCAGCCTGAACAGGGGCTGCCTGGGACGCATGTCCACATGAAGACCCTGAATGCAGCACGATGACAGCAGCAATGCGGCTGAGGAGATAAACAACAACAACAACTGAGACCAAACAAAGCCTAGGGTTAACTCTAACCCTTCTGCCCTTGGTGTTTATTTGAAGCTTTACTAACCAACTAAACTGAAGCGCCTGTTTCCTCAGGCCAATGCCTGGGTTGTGTTTTTCTGTGTGAAGGGTGGGTTGTAAGTCTTTGTGCTGCAGACGCATCTGAAGCACACAAGTTTCTTCTAATGAAACATGTTTCACACCATCAGTAGAACTGAACCTGCAGTTCAGTGCCAACAGCGTCTGCAGCTCCCCACTGACTTCTGATAGATTTGGATTCAAACTGATGTTTGAAACAAAACAACACTGAGTAATCCAATCTATAGTTTGTCAACCTCCAGGTCACGACACCACATGGAGTCACCTGATGTCAAGAACTGATATCTGACATAAATGTAATCAACACTGACTGAGAAGGGAGAGAAATGAAGACACCGCCCCCAACAAAGGAAAAACCTCAAACTTATTTTCACATTGTGTTTTTAAAAGGATTCCAGTGAAACTGGATCTCAATTTTCCTCTTTGTCTCTTTGTTCTCCTGCTCTCTGCTGCACTGGTACTTATAAGATGTATTTTTTTTTATCATATTATTATTAATATTATTTCAGTGTCAACACAACAGTGGGTCTTAAATCAAATCCTCATGTGTTCACAATAAATACCTGATTCTGATTATCAAACTGACGCAGCCGAGGACAAACATCAGAAAACATTGAAAATATAACATAGAGCACTAACAACAGATTAAAAAAAACCAGGAATCACACAAACCTTACCTGTGAGCAGATGAATAAAGATCCTAGAGAGACACAGCTGAGACATGTCCACCCCTCAGAGGATTCAGACAACACACTGATGCATGAATGAATGTGAACAGATGAAGCAGCAGCGTCTCCTTTGTGTCGATGCTTCAGTCTGAAGCAGAAAGCCAGCTGGGTTTGAGCTGAAATGCCCAGCTGATGAGAAACAAATGCAGACCCCCCTCTCCAGTGCCCCTGTGCATCTACAGACCACAGCACCACCTGCAGGACACATATGACTTTACACGCACTGCACTGGAAAATGTTTGTTTTTTTTGGCTTTACCTCTCACTGCTTCAAAGATTCCTGCACCACAACAAATATTTATATATACAGATGGTGACAGGCCAAACATCAGGGTCACTGATCAATCAAATGATTATTGTCTTGATGATCTGCTTCTAAATAGCTGCCGGTTAATTCTCTACCAGTGAACTGACTCATTACTGCAGCTCTAGGTCATTGAATGGCTTCATGAGGGCGACACAGTGGGTTGGACACAATGAGGGGATCTGGTTTGGGAGGAGGAGGTTTCCTCTCTCCAACAGAGGGGACCTGGCAAGGCTCTGGAGACTCGGCCCTGACGAGGCAGAGTGATTGACTGATAACAGTGATTCACAGTGTGTGAGATCTTATTGATCAGTCTGATGATGACTATCACTGTGTTAATGTCATCAAGGAAACACAAAATGTATTTGTTGACCAACTTTTCTTGATGAAAATGAGTCAAATGAAATGAAAAGCAACATTTGATAAGAACATTTTACATTTTCATCACCAAATAATGTATAAGAGGGACGAATGGACATGAAATAATCGCATCTGAAAGTAAAACCCGTAGCATATGTGGATTTCTTCCAAGCATTGTCTAAAATGTACAGCGCACATTTCCTTTTTCTAAACCTGAACAGAGCACATGAACAGTTCACATAAGGCTGCAGCTATATCCATTCCCCATCTAAGTCACTCGGGATGTTGACCCAAAAGTTAAACAAGGGGGACCCAGCCCAAGATATTCTTGCTTGAGCAAGAAACAGATCATACTTCCTTAAACACTTAGCTCAGCCTTACATAACTATTACAAATAATATCTATATATGAACTACATCTGTTCTATTACATATTACCTCTGGAACCTTGTTTATTTTTAACCACTACATATACTATTGCAGACTATACTTTTTCTCTTGTACGTTTATCAAACAGATACAATTAGGTCTATTAACGTTAGTTACTCCTCAGTTTATATGATGTGTACAGTGCGTTGTTAACCATTAAACTCCTCAGCAGAACATCATGATGTTAATATCAAACAGACACAGCATTAAAATGCTGCTTAAATGTTGATCTCTCTGTAATGTGATAATATAAGATTTCTTAGGATATCTCTCTATCTCGTGTTTTGACTCTATAGTGTGACTTGACAACATTTATGAACACTGAACTTTGTATCACACAGAAAACCCTAGCCTGTGCTTTATTTTGAAAGTCGTCGGAAATTGCTACAGGTTTAATTTGAGTTTTAGATGCAAAAGAGGTAGAAGGTGATAATCTCTCAGTATACACAGGAGAATTGCTAGCTATTTTACTAGCATTAGAATGGATAGAAGAACATAAACCATTAAAAGTCCTCATTGGATCAGATTCCAGCAGTTCTTTAGTATTTAAAGCATCCAGTCAGACTCAAGGCAAGACATATTACTGGAAATAGCTTGTATACTATTCAGATGTCAGAGGGCTGGAATAGATATTAGACTAGTTTGGATACCAGCACATATTGGGCTGGAAGGAAATTAATTAGCTGATAAATTTGCAAAAGCTGTGCTTAAAAAAAAGAAATTTTTGTGTGGAAGTAAGTATAGTAAGGTAAAGAGTTTGATTAAAAGGAAACTGAAAGAGAAATGGCATGGAGAAAGTTCAGGAAAGAGGAAGGAAGACATGGTATCAAGATTGAGATTTGGGCATACTGGTTTAAATAGTACATTGAAGTTAATCAATAAGCACACTACAGGGGAATGTGAAATGTGTAGCGTACAAGAAACAGTGGAACATGTTTTAATGAGCTGTCTCAGGTTCAGGCGGGAAAGGGAATTATTTAAAAATACAGTTTTAAGGGGTGGAATGAACTTTAGTTTACTGGAGGTGTTGGGACAAAGGTCAGAGGATATAAGATAGAGGGCGTTTATTAGGTTTTTAGAGAGCACAGGGTTACACAAGATAATATAAGTTGAACTGAGTGGGGTTATTTTGATGTGGTGGTAGGTAGGGGCCGTTCTGATCCACACTCCAGTCTGGAAGGTGGCGGTAATTCACGTAAAGCTGGTTGCCAACCGCCATAAAAAAACAGCTGAAGAAGAAGAAGAAGAAAGAGGTAGAAGAAGAATCACAAACAGAAGAAGAGAAGTGTCGGAGATTGTAGCTCGACGCAAATTTCACGTTTATGTGAAAAGTTAAAGTTTAGTTTTGTGAGTAAAGATGGACTCGGCCGCGGTGGAGATAGACGGGAGCGTGATGGAGGGAGTGAGTACTCGTACTTCATTTACTGGAGACATGGGCAAAAAAAGCTGTTGTTGTTCTGCTGCTAATATACTTGTAATGGGAGGAAAGGGGCGGCCGGTCCCGGCCAGTTGGCCGCCGGTCTTGAGCTCACTTATGTCTGCTCTGTGCCGGGGGGTGTCGGTTCTTCGCAGGGCGGCCAGATCTTACGAGTCTCCGCGGCCCTCAGTTGCATCACTGGGTCCTCCATCAAAATCACCAAAATCCGAGCCGGCAGAAGCACTCCGGGGCTCAGGTGAGTTAGCAGCTCCTGGCTAGCGGGCTAACGTTAGCCTATTCATTCAAGTTGAGTCGTCGGCTTACTTAATAATCAGCTATTAAAGGACAGCAACAAATGCTGGTAGAATTATTATTTTATTTTTTTATTTTTCATACCGAGTTCAGTCCAGTTTTCCCGATGGTCATGGATGATGCTTTTGGGAAACCTTGGCCAGCGATAAGAGCTTATAGAGCTTCCACTGAGCACAGGGGACACCGACCAGACTCCAATAGGACGTTTGACTTGTCAATAAACACGCATAACTTGTCACATAGTTAGAAACATTTCGAGAGACATCATCATCAACCTTTATTTATTCAGGGAAAACCAGCTGACAGCAGACTCTCATTTTCAGTAGTGCCCTGACATAAAATTTACACCATCAAAACAGCGATAGAATTATGGAATCAGAATCAGCTTTACTGGCCAGGTGTGTTGGACATAGGAGGAGTTTGACTCCGGTACAGTAGTTCAGTGTGTATGTACAATGTTCTTCTGTAAGGTACCGAGTACACAAGATAGGAATGTAAGGTACTATATAGAAGCAGTTTAAATTGAGATAAAGGAATAAGAGAAGACAATTTTATCTTTTTATTGAAACTATTCCATTTTTTGCGGGGCATAGTAACATTTCCACTGATCAACTGGTTCACTTTAAATTCGGCGTCAGTACTCCTCACACACCTTTTAGTATATGCATGAAACTTTAACAGAAAGCTTTAAGCCATAAGGGTTTAATGAGAATCTCTCTCAGTTTTAACACAGCTTCAGTATTATTTATGTGTTGTTTTGTGTATTCAGACCGCAGCACCTGAGCGGCCTGCAGCTGGTCTCAGAACTATGTTCTGGCAGTCTGCAGGGAGCCAGCATCGGCTCCACCGACATCAGTCTGACTCCAGGAAAGATCCAGTCTGGAAATCACACAGCCGACACACAGACTGCAGGGTGAGACTGTCTGAACTTGTCGTGCTGTTTCTGTCAGTCTTCCACCAGGTTCTGTGAGAACTGTGGTTCGGGTGGGTTTGAGCATACTTGAGGTTCTTGCGACGGGTCCAGAAGTCTCAGACAGAATAGAAGAGCCCCCTCAGGAGAGTTTCAGTGTGTTTTAAAAAAAATGGTTGACACTTAGGGAGGTGCCAGGGTCCGGTTCAGACAGGTACTTCTGTTGTTCGGAGCGAAACCTGATGAATGAACTGTGTTTGTGTTTTCTGTATGCATCAGGAGTGTGTGTCTGCTGCTGCAGGTAGCTTTGCCCTGTGCTCTGTACGGCGGTGACTCCTCACAGCTCTATCTGAAGGGGGGAACCAACGCTGAGATGGCCCCTCAGATTGACTATACTGTCAAGGTCTGATACCCTGCAGACGTGCTGCTCAGATAATGCACACACAACAATATATATACGCAGTGAATACATTGTGCTCACAGGACACCCACCGCATAGAGTCTGATACCCACAGTAAACGCAGTATACCCTTATACACAGTCATTGATCAGTGAGCTGCTTAGTAATCAGCTAACATAACCAGCTTGTTTTTACTGGTTTCTTTTTCTTCAGGTTTTTAAACCCATCGTGGAGAAGTTTGGAGTCCATTTTGACTGTGACATCAGAATGAGGTCTGTTTCCTGTCGTCTACTGAGTAGAAATGGTAGAAATGTGTGTTTGTGTGTCTGACTGTGTTTGTGTATCAGGGGTTACTACCCTAAAGGTGGAGGTGAGGTGATAGTGACGGTGAACCCGGTCAAAGAGCTGCAGCCTATCACCATGACAGAGAGAGGAAACATCACCAAGATCTACGGCAGAGCATATGTTGCCGGAGTTCTGCCCTTCAAAGTAAAGTTATCACTGTGACACACACACAAATACCACTGCTTCTATACAGCTGGATCATACACACAGGATGCTATTGTTGTTTTGAACTGAGAGATGTATGCTGTGTTCACCGCCACAAAAGTGCTGAGGTTACAATGTGCTCAGCCCTGTTAATAAATGATGTGTGTGGATTCAAACTGACCATTGTGACATAGTTGTCTTTGTCATGTCAGCTATAAATCTTTGTGTTGCGTTGACTGCAGCTGTGTCTGTTGTTTTTGTGGTCTCAGTTGGCGAAAGACATGTCGGCTGCTGCTGTCCGAACCATCAGGAAGGAAATTAAAGAACTGTACATCAACATCCAGCCGCTGCAGGAGAAAGACAAAGCTTACGGCAATGGCAACGGCATCATGTAAGCCCTGCCCACCTGCTGACATTACAGGGTCTGTTCTGCATTCACTGTCTGGGAAGAATGGAAATAAGTGTCCTGATAGAGCTGCGCTGTTATGTTTTAATTTTCTGAGTTCAGATGGAAAAGCTAACTTTAAACAGGTCAGACCAGTGAGGATGTAACACCAAACCACAACAACTGGGTTGAGTTAAACCTGAGTGTAAAAATGTAGAAGCCTTGATTTATGAAGATTTCCTGCCTTAGTGTTACTGCAGCTGTGGATGAGACAGGTGTTTCTTCAGCTCCAGCTCTCTGATTGATTCATAATCCTTCTGTATTTCAGAATCATCGCTGAGTCGTCAACAGGATGTCTGTTTGCAGGTTCAGCTTTGGGGAAGAAAGGTGAGGAGCTCACCTGATCCAACAGGGAGCAGCAAACACACACAACTGATTCACACTGGAGTGGTTTTCTAGACATTTTACACACATCTTCAGCGTCAGTGACCGGTGTTTTTGCCACGAGACTACTGTGGTCTGAGCCAGATGTAGTTGCCTGCTAACAGAGCTAGCTTGGTGAGATAGCAAGCACATGCATCTCCGAAGATGTCGGAACACTTTCTAAATTGGCGTTATTTGGTTAGACCAACCACAGTCATAATCGAAATGGTTACTTTCTTGCCTCAAAAAATATCAAAGTTCACTAAAGGCCCAGGGATTTGTCCCCTGCATGTGTGAACCCCCTTGAGAATCATACCCCCAGTCCCAGTGTCCTCCCTAAGGTTGCGAGCCCTGAACCCTCAAAGACTTTAGTGACGTCACCTGTAAGTGACTGAGTGCAAGAGCTGGAAACTGTATAAACAGGAATGGGATAGCACTTTGTGACTGAGGCTATCGCATCACAATGGCGACACCAAAATAACACCATGATTCTAACTGGTGTGGGTTCAGGGCTTTTTGTTTTTCGTTTTTCGCCTTCCTTATGGCCAAGATGCTTCAGGGACCAACTGGCTGGTTTGAATGTGATCCGAGCCAAGTGTCACTTACCTAATCAATGTAATGTTTTTGTTGAAACGGCATCATTAATCAAAAAAGAAAATCTAGTTGATGAATGAAATAGGTGATGTTTGTTTGTTAGCCTGCGGTATTTAGCAGGTGCTTTTGTCCAAAGCAGCATACAATAACATCAGTTAACACAAGAATGACTGTTCGTTGTCTTTATTTTTCTTATCTCTGTTCTGTTTTATAGCATTTGTTTGCCTTTTTACGCTTCCAGCCTCCCCAGGGACAGTGGGCACGCAGGGGGAAAATGTCTGAATAGTCTAGTTGGAATGCGGTGTAAGAGACATTACATGCATACATACTCTACAAAAAAGCCATTGCTTAATTCTGCTTCTTTTATGTTTTGCAATGACAAAACCTGTTCACGCGTGAGGGAAGGATGGAACGGGAGATTGACAGGCGGATCGGTGCAGCTTCTGCAGTAATGCGGTCGATGTCATTGTGCGGTCCATCGTGGTGAAGAAGGAGCTGAGCTGTAAGGCGAAGCTCTCGATTTACTGGTCAATCTACGTTCCGACTCTCACCTATGGTCATGAACTTTGGGTCATGACCGAAACGGCAAGATCCCGGATACAGGCGGCCGAAATGAGCTTTCTTCGCTGGGCGGCCAGGCGCACCCTTAGAGATAGGGTGAGGAGCTCGGTCACCCGGGAGGAGCTCAGAGTAGAACCGCTGCTCCTCCACATCGAGAGGAGCCAGTCTTGTCTGTCCTGGGAACGCCGCGGCATTCCCCCGGAGGAGCTGGAGGAAGTGTCTGGAGAGAGGGAAGTCTGGGCATCTTTGCTTGACTGCTGCCCTCGTGACCCGGTCCCGGATAAGCGGAGGAAAATGGATGGATGGAACGCCACAGAGTAGCCTAATAGTACTTGGTTTGAACGTGTTCGTAAATGCAGTTAAGGGAAACATCTGAGGAGCCGTGAAGCAGACAGGCCTCTAGCCTCACTGCCGCACCTCCTTTCTTACCTCATTTTCAATTTTTCTTACAAAGAAGGGCACAGGGCAGGTGTTGGAGGTGTGTTGGAACCGAGGATAGGAAAAGTGGGAGATCTTCCCCTGGCTCAAAAAGACTGGTTAGGGTTAGGGTTGATCATACACCAGTGTAAACGAGGCGTTTTGAAGGGAGGTCAAAAGCACAATAACACGCAGAAGGGACAGACGGCCTGCCATAGGTACCAGCGCCATCTTGCTTCCTGTGGTGTTGAAGGCCTTTAAATGAGAAACTTGCCTTCAGTCCTACTTTGACAAACTAAATCTGCTGACGCTGATACTTTTGAAAGGTGGGTGGAAATACCTGTGGACTCACCTGTGTGTGTGTGTGTGTGTGTGTGTTTCAGGTGTGTATGCGGATAAAGTTGGAATTGAAGCTGCTGAGATGTTGCTGAGAAACATCAGACACAGCGGCTGTGTAGACGAGTTCCTGCAGGACCAGGTGAGAGACACACCCTCTGACCTCACTGTGACATCACTGTGACCTCACTCTGACCTCAGTCTGACCTCCTCAGCTTATCATCTTCATGGCATTGGCAAAGGGAACGTCTCGTATTCGAACCGGTGCTGTGACGCTGCACACACAGACGGCGATCCACATCGCAGAGCAGCTGACTCAGGTCAGAAACGCATAACTACACTGCAAATAATTGGGGACAAACCACACAACTTTCATTCTGTGCAAAAAACTCATTCCAAGGTTCATGTGAGGCTCAAATGCAGCTTCACTTGTCCCATGAAACTAATAAGAGTTGGTATCTTTTAAAGTTCTAGTCTATTTAAGACTAATTTCCCTCTTTGGTGTCCTTTGGACCGTAACTTTCTTAGCCACGGCTGAGAGATACGTTATAGTAACAGCATCAAAATTCTGTTGCCTGCTACCGGCTTTTAACTCACATAAGCACAATCAGTATTGCAGCCTCTGGGTTGTTATTGTATGACCATGTGAGCTGTAACGGCATGCACTAATGTTTCTGTAAAGCTGAGTCAGTGACTGACTGTCATCACTGTGGCCTTGTTAGGAGCATTAGCTTACACAAAGGCCTCTAGGTTGGTTAATTGGTAAATAACAGCATGTTAGAGTATGCATTTATTTGCACTTACCCCCTTGTCAACTGTTGTTAGCCCGACTGATGATCGCACAGTTGTGCAGTTTCTCTCGCAGCACCTCTCCTACTGTGGACACGGCCTCCATGTACATTTAATTCTCTCAGCTTTGCAAAAAAAGTACTTGTTCATTTTGATCACTATCAGGCACAACTTGGTCCTTTCAGGATATTTCAGGTGAAATCTCAGGTACCCTTTTGCCCTAGTGTTGGCCGATCCACATTTTTCAGTGCCCATTTCAATACAAGAGCTCTTTTATTGCGATAAAACAATCAACACTAATAAACAAACTATTAAATGTGAGTAAAGATGGATACGTGCAGCCACTAGATGGTTGGAGACCAAGGATACACACAAAGCCATGAATTTTTATGTTAACATGGCATGAAATACGTTGGGTAAATAATTGTATATTAAGGTAAAGGATGGAATCGCTGCACAACAATTAGCTTCAGTGCTAACTGCTGCTAAAACCAGTGTTGTCACATTTTTGTTTCTGTAAACTTTTGTTTCTGCATTAATTTTGTTTTCCAGGCAAAGTTCACAATAACAAAGTGTGAGGACGAGCTGAGCAGTAATGTCACCTACATCATCGAATGTCAAGGGTCAGGAGTAACCAACCCCAGCCTGTAGAGAACACACACATCTCAGCTGGACTTGATAGCTGCTCCCGTCATGGCCGACCCTCTTGGCTTCTGTCACTCAGGGTGTTTCCATAAATACTGTAATAAATAAATAAGACTGCTTCCATCATTCACACCTGTGTTTTTACTTTAACAAAAATGGTCAGAATCTGATTTTATTCACAGAGGAGTAGGCTCAGATGCAGGTCATGTAGAGAAATAAACAAATGATGAAACCACAGCACAACAGCTGTGAATACAGCGATAACAACTGGCTGTGATTTTTGAATGGTTTATGTTTTGTTTTTCTAAAGAGGACTTGAATTGTGAGGGGACCGGCTAAAAGAAGGACTGTGTGCTGCAGATACCTGACGTAAAGGTGTTTGCTAATCCCGTGAGGGACATTATACTAATAAAGTCAATTCAGTCATTACCCTCATTATACAAAAATATGTAAATGCACAAAACATTGTAGACGGTGTTTAAAGAGAGAGGCTGCTTCTGTGTGGTGACCTGTGTACATGGTACGTAGTAGTATTAACAGTAAGGTTGAGACCTTACTATGTGAAGTGCTGTCAGATGATTTTTGTTGTGATTTGGCACTATACAAATAAAATTGAATTGAACATTGAATTTATTTATTTTTTTAATCATGGTAAAAAAGTTGTTGAATTGGCTGGCTGTATACTGTGAAATTCTTTGAACCTGCAGATAAATATGAAAACAATCTAAGTACAGAATCTAAACCGAGTGACTCCAGTACAAGTCACTGAGTCACCAACCCGAGTGCCCTGAGTAACCCATGATTACAGTGAAGATGTTTATAAATAAAAAAAATTAAAATGAAATTAAGTATCTTTTAAATGTTTCAAAGTTTCAACTTGATTTTATGTGCATCTATATGGCTTTACAAATTTTAACTCTCCAATTTTTGCTGTATATATGGCTTTTTGTGTTTAGTGTTTCTCAGCTCAGTACTCCCAACATCCTCCTGGCTGGTGGTGTAGCAGGGATATTAAATTGGATGATTGCTCTTCCTCCAGATGTCCTCAAATCTAACTTCCAGACAGGTTAGATCCAGAGTCAGCACTAAACCTTTACCATTTAACCTTCTATAATCACGTTCTCTTCTCATTTTACATATATTACATCAATGTAGGCCATTAACCATTTTTGTTCTGTTTTGCTCTATGCACACCCTGTACAGCAGTCAATATTTAAAGGAATGGTTCCACATTTTGATAAATACTAACTTTTTTGCCAAGAGTTAAATGAACGATTGATACCACCCTTATAGCTGTGTGTTCAGTGAGAAGCCAGCAGATGCTTATTTTAGCTTAGCATAAAGGCTGGAATGTGGGGAAACAACCAGCCTGGCTGTCTCCAAAGATAACAAAATCTGCTTACCAACAGTACAGTTAACCCCTCAAACAGAACATGCATAGACTATAAGGTACTGTCTGACAAAGGGAATGCTTCCTTTAACATTAAGCCTTATTCATTTTTATCACAGAGTGTGAAAAATAAGTTGACTGTACTTTCAGTTTTTGTGCATGTGTGTGTATAGCTGCAGAAGGGAAGTACAGAGGTCTGGCTGATGTCCTGAGAACACTGCTTCACGAAGAAGGACCTAAAGCCCTTTATAAGGGTTTTAATGCCGTCCTTCTACGAGCCTTCCCTGCCAATGCAGTAATACTTTACTCTTATGTTGCTTCCCTTTCAAACTCTTACTCTATTCTTATATTTCTACTCATATACTGCCTGATACCTACTGTACAGGCCAATGCCATTAACTGCCTTTTATGTGTGGTATCCCCTCCCCCCCCCCCCCCCCCCCCCCCCCTTTCTCTCTCAGGCATGTTTCTTAGGTTTTGAGGTGACATTAATGGCACTGAACTCATTCGCACCCAACTGGTGAAAATAAGCCAGGTTGTTATAAAATGTATATAACTGCCCCCCAGTCTGGACCAGCCTTTCAGTGAGACAAAGTTTCTTTGTATCACAAACTATTGTGAGTGTTTTGTATCTCTGGAGTCACATTTCACAATGCTGATATGAAAAATAAAGAATAGTAATTAGAATACAAGAAATTGTATTCTGAAATGTAATTTCACATTTCCAAATACAGTTTTTTAAAATTGTTTAAATCAAGATTTTCTGCTCATTTTTGAGCAGTGATACAGTGTAAAGGCACATTTATGAATGGTTTTCAGATATATTAGCCTTTTTAATGTTTAAGTTGTGTATGAAAATATCAGATGAGAAATTTAGCAGCATTTAGTTTGAATTGGGCACTATGTACAGTATTAATTGACAAGCTCTGCCAAAACTTTCTATTTATTATTTCTGGTGTGATCCTGAGGTTCGTCTGGCTTGTGTACAGGTCCAGGGGAGTTTTATAACCTTTTTGAATAAATTTTGCCTGAGACCATGAGTGTCAAGACTCTGACGTCACAATGTTTTTGTAACTTGCCCCTCACAACCCCAGCCTACCCCCCCACCCATCCCCCATCTTGTTTTCTGGAGTGTTTATTATTTTATAGCTTGCACCTGCATATCATAAAGTCTTTTTTCTTGTGGGAATAGTGCAACACCCCCCAGACTAAGTTTGACAGAAAGTTATCCACTAAAATCTTTGATAAACATGTGACTTTGGTGTGTAATCTTACCATCATGTGGGGCCCGTTATATTTATCAAGGCAACTGAACTTACAGTGGACATGTATGGAAGAGGATGCAGCTGGAGCAGCGACACTGTTTAGAGCACTGATGCTGGTGACTGGGATCCACCCTGGTCTGTGGGCCTGGAGTGGGCCGTTGTTGCAGTAAGGAAGAGTTTCCCTTGACAGCGTACAGTCCGTAGACCACCAAGGTGACTTCGACTTGCTACTCTCTATCTCTGGACACTCCGACCACTACAGCAGCCAGTCTCTCACTGAGAGAGGTGGAGGATTGGAGTAAAGCTGACACCCTGCCTAACTCTGACCCCAGCTTTGCACCCAGTTCAGCTGGTGCTGAGGTAGAGTGCATGGACGAAGTGGAGAGTTTATTAAAACCTGATGTCCTTTTATTAAACTGACTTTGGTGGAGATACTTAAATTGGTGATCACCGCTCATGTACAATCATTGCAGTGTGTGTGTGTGCTACTGGGGCCCAACCATCTAAACACACCTGTTCAGATCATCTGTTTAAATGGTATTTTAACATCTATTTTGACATGCTACAAAGACTGTGAGTCCCGGAGTTCATTCCAACTGCTCTAGAAATCCTGAGTCTGGAAGGTTTTGAACCACACACTAACCATGTTCGCGGAGCTGTGCAGGCCTGCCTTTATGAACTAAAGGAGACTGTGCACATTTACGCCAGTCTGAATCACCTGGAAGGCACCGCAAGGGCAGGAGCCAGTGTCTGCATACAGTACTGTCTGAGGCCAAAATTGACTGGGAGAATGGGGAACTGTGTAAGAACCTTTGGTAAATCTGTGTGTTTGTACATGTTCAAGCAAAGAGTTTGCAGCCTTTTGAATAATGCTGTCAGATCTCAAATATCAGGAAAACATCACCATTTGATTGGGGCTCTGGGTCTTGAGAAACGCCATGCCTGAATCTCTTGTAGCAGAACAATATTCTATAATATCAGCGCACATCAGTGACCCCCTGACTTCCTGTTTCAATTGTGCAGGGAAATGTGTGCCCCTGATTCACATTTAACATTCACTGATTAAAATAGCATTTTATCCATGAAGATTGATGTGATTGTTTCTAAACTTGCTTGTGTTAAAAATGTAAACCGCATTCTGTCTGTCGTGGATTGTTTAGATTTCTCACAGAGCATAATTACATCATCCTATTGTTGCGATTGTTGTCTATATCCGATTGTGTTACGATAGCCCCATGTGCTGATCTTATTAAGACATTGTAAACTTATTTCTGAGCTATTGATGTAGCTAAGACAATGTAAACCTAGTTCTGAAGTGTGTTATGATTGTGCCATCTGCCGGTGTGAAATAAAACCTGTTTGAATCAAAACATATGTCTGTTTTTTGTGGGGGGAAAAAAATGTCTAGGGAAAATGAAGTCTCTATCATTATGGAAGAGGTTAAACAAGTGCTTTAAAACAATTATTATAAACCTCTTCAATCCTGGTTCAACTCATGGGTGCATTTTGAAGATGTTTCTTTAGGATAAATGCCGTCTAATAAAATATTGTGTCATGAGTAGGGAGTGGGTTAGCTGCGTTCCAGGGGGTGCCTGTGTTACAGTGGATCCAGAAAGTATTCACAGCGCTTAACGTTTTCCACATTTTGTTAGGTTACAGCCTGATTCCAAAATGGATTAAATTCATTATTGTCCTCAAAATTCTACAAACAATACCCCATAATGACAAGGTGAAAAAAGGTTTGTTTGAAATGTTTGCAAATTTATTAAAAATAAAAAATGAAAAAAATCACATGTACATAAGTATTCACAGCCTTTGCCATGACACTCAAAATTGAGCTCTGGCGCATCTTGTTTCCACTGATCATCCTTGAGATGTTTCTACAACTTGTTGGAGTCCACCTGTGGGAAATTGGAAATGATTTGGAAAGGCATACACCTGTGTCTATACAAGGTCCCACAGTCAACAATGCATATCAGAGCACAAACCAAGCCATGAAGTCCAAGGAATTGTCTGTAGATCTTCGAGACAGGATTGTATAAAGGCACAGATCTGGGGAAGGGTACAGAAAAATTTCTGCGGCGTTAAATGTCCCAATGAGCACAGTGACCTCCATCATCCATAAATGGAAGAAGTTTGGAACCACCAGGACTCATCCTAGAGTGGGCCGCCCGGCCAAACTGAGCGATTGAGGGAGAAGAGCCTTAGTCAGGGAGGTGACCAAGAACCCGATGGTCACTCTGAAGGAGCTCCAGCATTTCTCTGTGGAGAGAGGACAACCTTCCAGAAGAACAACCATCTCTGCAGTGAAGCATGGTGGTGTCAGCATCATGCTGTGGGGATGTTTTTCAGTGGCAGTGTTATAAAAATTCTGTTATTAGACATGTTTTATACTATTTCATGTGTTTTAAACTTTCAGAACAGAGCCATGTGAGAAACTGGCTGAAGGATGTTTTCTGTCTTTTATGTTTCTCTGTGTACTGTGATATACTCGACTACAGACTGTTCCAGATGAAGCGAGACAAAACCGTCAAATGTAGGATAAGCATGTGTCCCAGTATGATTAGTGTCTAAGTCGTGTTATCAGGGTGTGCCTGTTTACTATACATTATGTTGTATTAACCTACCTCACTGAGACAACTCTGTATGCTCATGCTGACTTGTCTCCTTGCTGCATGTAAACTAATTATTTACAAAGATTCCAGTGACTATGTTGCTTCATTAAAAAATTCCTTTCACAGGCAGGAACTGGGAGACTAGTCAGGATCGAGGGACCGATGACTGCAGCAATATACAGACACATCCTTGATGAAAACCTGTTCCAGAGCGCTCTGGACCTCAGACTGGGGCGATGGTTTATCTTTCAACAGGACAACGACCCTAAGCAACCAGCCAAGATAACAACGGAGTGGCTACAGGACAACTCTGTGAATGTCCTTGAGTGGCCCAGCCAGAGCCCAGGCTTGAACCCCATTTTCACATCTCTGGAGAGATGTGAAAATGGCTGTGCACTGATGCTCCCCATCCAACCTGATGGAGCTTGAGAGGTACTGCAAAGAAGAATGGGAGAAACAGCCCAAAAATAGTTGTGCTAAGCTTGTAGCATCATACTCAAAAAGATTTGAGGCTGTAATTGGTGCTAAAGGGGCTTCAACAAAGTATTGAGCAAAGGCTGTGAATACTTATGTACATGTGATTTTTTTCATTTTTTATTTTTATTTTTAATAAATTCGCAGACTTAAAACAAACTTTTTTTCACATTGTCATTATGGGGTATTGTTTATAGAATTTTGAGGACAATAATGAATTTAATCCATTTTGGAATAAGTCTGTAACCTAACAAAATGTGGAAAAAGTTAAGCGCTGTGAATACTTTCTGTATATGGGAAAGGTATGGAAGGAGTATTTGCAAAACTGTTTATTTGTCATTTAAAATAGGCAAATCCCATATTAAAAGCACAGCACAAGATTTGACAAAACACTCAGCATCCTGATGACGGCAGCCCTGATGCCCTCTGGCACACATCGAGAGGGCTCAGGAATTCATCTGCTGTCACGTATGTCAGGAGACCTCCTGGGAGAAGATTGAATAAAAAACGCTCTGCAATCGTTCACCCATCACAATGCCATGGGAAGCGTCACATCTCACGAGAGTCTGAACACATCTTTTAAGTTCATCAATAACTGAGGGGAACAGAGGATGCAAGATGAACAGCAGAGGAGAGAGGAGAGAATACATGCTGCACCTTTTAGAATGGTCTTGGATTATTCTTGGAGGAGTCAACGTGATAAAAGGGAACACACTACTTCAGTTAGCTCCTCGCCGCTTTCCGTGGATTACTGCTCTGGATTTTAGTCATACATTTGATGATACAAGTTGTTTTGAGCTAGTACCTGCATATGTGTGTAGGTGCATACGTGTATCCACCAAAACAAAGAAGCATTCAGTTTCTTCAACTGAATGCTTCTTTGTTTTGAGATGGAACTAATATGTACATGATAGGGTGTGGAGCAAGTGAGGCTCCGGATGATGGGTGTTCAAAATCTGCATAATGCAAGGTTAATATTTGATTAATTACATTTGATGTAATTATTGGGCATGAACTGGTAATACATGTTAAAAATATCACCATACAGGTGCCACAGTTATCAACTATATGTCAACTATTATTATCAATTATACTTGCAAATGATAAACAACACATGTTGGCTTTCTTCTGAAATGAAATAAATCTTGATAAAGATGAGAAAACATAAATACAGACCTCGTCCAATGAACCTTTTTTGCTTTCTTTTAGGCTTTCATTCCCCTAAGCTCAATCTCTACTGATAAACAGTGACACCTGCACACCTCATAAAACAATATGAACTGTACCAAAGCCAAAACACACTTGAAAAGTTTGCCCCTATGGAGTCTTCTGGGAAATCATTTTACTCCAGCATTCTACCTGTTATCACATGCACATATTAAACCAGGGGTGTCAAACTCAATCTCACTTGGGGCCAAAACTCAAAGCACACTTTAGGTCGTGGGCAAAATAAACGAACGTAAAATCAGTAACCGTATTTCTGCTAAGGCTTACATTTGCAAACACCTACTTTTTGTCTGGAGACAAGACCTTGCATGCTTTCATCATGCAGCTCTTCAGAAACTCTCCCTTGGTAAATGTCCAGGCTGATTTTTTCCTCTGGTTTGCACAATTTGTGGGGAGCACTAGATGCTGGAGTGCTGCATGAATATGACTGCAAATGGAAGCCACCATTACAGATAATGCTAGGCTTGTGTGAATAGTCAGTGGCTAAAGAAACAAGATCTATAGGATGTAGGGTTCATCAGATCATGTCTTACAACATCAATAAGAGGGATCATTTCTGTGTAGAATGGTGAGTAAACACTCTGCATTCATTTTAACTAGGTGTACCTAATAAACTACGAGCTGAGTAATACAACATGAGCACCATGGCGCCCTCTGAGGCAGACGTGTTTGCACGTTCCACTCTCCTCTATGTTATATTGTGTTTTTGTTGTATTTTTATTGTGCTTCTTTCACTTGCAGCTTTAAAGTACCTTAGATTTGTGTTACTGCCTATTTAGATTTGTGTTATTGCTCCTCTACTTTATATTTCACTTGTATTATGTGGCATTCATGTAGATGGCAAAGTAAGAATTTCATTGTACAGGGAAACACGTTTCCTAACTGTGCATATGACACATAAACACTTTGACCTTTGGCCTTGACCTACAACAGTTCTGTAATAAGTCCTTCCTTAATGAAGATGTGAATGAGCCTAACCCCACTGATATACTGTATGGACAAAATAACAGAAAAATATGTCAGTAAAACGCAAAACAATTCAACAGCACCACTAACTACATCCTCAAAAATTATCATACATTTGAATCAACAGCTCTCTAAAGCAGTTTCAACAAACATTATCATCTGTCACAATCCCAGTTTGGGCCTGGGCAGTGCCCCGCGTTTTTCTGTCTCATTTCAGAGCCAGCTCTTTGCCTTTGTCCTCTTTTCTCAATTCTTCTACCTTCTCTGCCCACACTCAACATGGAAATACTATCAATTGTCTGTATATCCTTACAAAACTGATCAACACACAGTATCTCTATGCAGCAAATTCTGTACACATGGACACGAGTGAACATTGACAGTCCTGCCTCCTCTTATTGGTTGTAACCTGATTTGAGAGTAACATGCAATGTCAACTTTTTGCCAAAAAGTCTGTTTCTTGAGTTCTTTATTAAAAACCACCGATCCCCCTCCTGACATACTGAACCAGAGCTTGATACCATTTGTTAAACCTGCCACAGCAACCTATTTTCAAAACCTTGAGAGGCCTGAGAGATTTTTTTATTTTTTTTTTACATTGGAAACTGGGTGGCAGATAAGAACCAGCTGCTTATCCCCAACACAGAAAACCGTAGCCTTGATGAAAGAGCATCTTTAATTACATGAATGAAAATAATGGCTCAGCATGTGCACAAGTGTGCAATCTCTGCCCACAACCAATAGGAGACTAGCAAACAGTCAGAATCACTGGGACCTATTTCAAGAAGGCGGTTTTGTCGAAACTCAGAGTTTGTTAACCCCGAAATGAGGGCAACTCGGAGTTTTCGGTTTCAGAAACGGAGGTAACTTAAACCCGTGAAGCGGGGTAAGTTAAACCCGTTTCACAAAGAGAGGTAATCTAAACTCAGAGTCAGTTACTACGGCAACTTACTCTGTGAACCTAACCTGCTGGCGAGCAGGTTTTGTTCGGGAAACTCAGAGTTTCCTCCGGGTCTCCGCCCCTTTTTAAAGTGAAAGGTGTTTAATACCTCATTTAATCTTTCAGTACATTCATAGATTGCACACGTTTCCGTCATGCAGAGACCAAAATGGCGTGTCCATTCATAGAGGATCCTGTAGAGGAGGACGCTGTATTAATTCGCAGGGAATTGCATTTACGTCGGGAGAGGATATTGAGGCCACAAGTTGATTTTTTGTCATATCCCCATGTATTTTTATTTGAGCGGTACCGTTTTTCTAGAGAGTCCATAACATATATCAATAATCTTACCCACCCATACATCAGACACATCACCCATCGTGGCCGTGCTCTTACATCCGAGCAGATGCTTTGTGTTGCGTTACGACTTGTTGCAAACAGCAGTTTTCTTTATAACATCGGGGATGCAGAGCAAGTAAGGCCACAGTATGTAGAATAGTTCGGAAAGTGTGCCTCACCCTCAAGCGCTTTCTGTGAATTTTTGTTGGGTTTCCTGGGCACAAACCCCTCAGAGCCATTAAAGAGGAGTTTCACAGGATTGCAGGTTAGTGGTATTGAATTCGTTTCAGTAAGGCTAATCTGAAAAATGATGATCAGTTAATAACATCTTGCTGTGACCTCTGGAAATAAACTAATAATTAGAATCCCCTTCAGGATTTCCTAATGCGGTTGGATGCATTGATGGCACACATATTCCCATCAATGCACCTACATGAAAATTAAAATTCAATTCTTATATTATTACATCAGTGTTGGGTAAATCTTAAAAAAGTATTTTGATTAATGTAATAATTACTCTCCATAAAACATACTGGATTATTTATTAATCATTACTTTACAAATCCCATATCAACCACAATAGGAATTTTAAGAAAGGGTAGACATAAAACTGCACTTTTAATTCGTACAAAAATCGGTATTTTATGCAATTACTGAAGTTACTCATTCAATTATTGAAGAATTAAGAACCATTCCTTACTTTACAAGTGACAAATAATAACATTACTAACATTATTTAGTAATTACTTACACCGAACACTGTATGATTAAAATGTAAACGTACCCATTGACTCGGGCAGCTATTTTCCCCCAAGCTAACTCTTTCTCTTTCGCCGCGGCAGCCGTGTTGTTTTTTTGTTTTTTTTTTACGAAATATGGGCTCGTAGTCACTATATGCTTGTAGTAGCACATCCATTTCTGTCGGGGAAAAACGCAGACCTATTTTGGCTTGGTCCTGTTGCCATGGTGACTCGTAATTTCTTCACTCCATTGTTCAGGGCTTTTTATAGTCGCGTGGCACGCGCCTAACTCTGAGTCAAACAACTCAGAGTTGATTAAACCAACTCTTTTCAGCTGTTCTGAAACCGAAAACTCCGAGTTTTCCAACTCTGGGTAAGTCAACTCAGAGTTCAGGTTTGAACTCTTGAGTTTGTTAAACCGCCTTCTTGAAATAGGCCCCAGTTGACTGATTCATTATTTGGTTTCTACACATTTAAAGAATATTGATTATTGTCCATGAAAAATGACATGTTTGTAGTTGAATTTGTGTGGCAGCTGGGATAAAGTGAGTTGTTGTTTTTCAAAGCAACTCAGTTTTAAAAGTAAACAAAAGTGAACTCTTCCATTTGCTATGACATCATCAGGACATCAAAGGACAGCATCGGCAGTTGGAGGGTACACAGCTCCATGATCATTTCTTCACCACCCTGGGTAGAGGTAAGTCCACACTGAAATTGCGAGAAAAATATTTTTGCTAGCTTACATTTTTCTGTTTATTAGACCTATAGTGTGTTGGAGAAACAGGGAATTTACTTTCCTTTTGTTTCTCTATCAAATAAAAGACGTTTTTCATGAGTTAAACTCCAGTTAACCTCACAGTTAAATGTGCATCGTTTGCTGTAAACAGTAAACACAGATGCATTTTTTGGACCTGCACAACAGTTTTCATTTGTAAATGTTGCTTTACTTGTTGCCTAAAATGCATATGTGCAGAAAAGGCTGGTTTTGTTGTTTTTCTTTGCAAAACCAGTTGCCTGAAAAGTTTCTAGTCCTCACGTTACCTTCTGCAGTTACTTTTACAGATGCCATGAAAGTTAAAAGGTATTTAATTGATATTTTATGAAATGTGACTTCTCTATAGTTTTTTAAATTCGGTGTGCAATTTGCTTTATCATGTTAGAGAAAAATCTTCTCTTGAACTAGCTGTTACCACTAGTACAACAGTAACCACATTTGGTAGCAGTGGACGTTCAATATCATTGTTGTATTAACTGATTAACTTAGCTGCAACAACTCTGTTAATGTAGTGTAGATATTTAAATAGACTGATTTTTTTTATTTTAATATGAAAATACACTATAGTTTTTTTTCTATTTATAGTTATTCAACAAATAGGGATGCACTGACACCAGTATTGGGTCTGATAACACCCTCTAATATTTGAACTTACTGTATAAAGTTGTGCTATACTATGGACCGATACACATTAAAGCATAAGTCATTACACTTTTATGGTAAATGTAATTTTTATAGCGGAAACACTGCATCATTAACTACACACAATAGTACTTGGTCTTAATCCCTATCTAAAAATAAATGTGTACATTTTGTTTGTGATTCACAGTTCAAAACTGAGAGGCGACCTAAGGCATTACAGAAGAAGGCCGAGTTGAAAATGGAGGAAAAAAATGAGAAAGACATGGAAAAGAGCGAGAAAAAGGAGAAACAAAAACAGGAAGAGGAGGAGAAAAAAGAGAAATGGGAGAGGAAGGAGAGAGAACAACAAAAGGAGGCATCTGAGGAAGGATGAGGACGGGACAGAGCGCAAAAAGTCACCGCTGGAGGCATAGCTGAGGAAGAGACAACAACCAGGTAACAGAGCAGTTTACACTGCAGCAGGTCACTCACACAAAGGTAGAACACCACATAGATACCCACCCTAAATTAAAAATCGGGAGACTAGAAATAATATTTAAGAAACCCAATCGGATGCAACAAGAGAGCAGCTAAAAAAAAAAACAACTTAGAGAACAAAATGGAGGGAAATAAATAGATACAATTTCTAAAACAATCTTAGCAACCAACTAGAAATTGATCAAGCAAGTCCAGCAGTTTTGTACAAACCATAACCTGGATGACTGAGAGTAGAGACACTGTGCCTGGTCTTAAACCATTCACACTTGGCCTCTCCCAGTTCAAGTTAATTTAGTCAAGGCTAACCTAAACAAGTACATTTAAAAGAAAGAAGAACAAATAAAGAGAGATACTAAGGGAGAAGGCAAATGTGAGCAGACAGATGTCAAGACTAGTCAAATATCCAGAAACACCTTAGTACCTGCACAGACGCAGTCAGTTAGCACTGTGCAGTCTCCTAACCTGACCTGTGCCAACACAGACTAACCTAATCGAGCCTCACTTAATGTGACTCCACTTACATGAACTTAAGCTAAATGAGTCTGGCCTACCTTAAATTAGCCTAATATTAACGTAGCCTATCCAAACCTAAAATAATCTGAGAGGAACTGAGGGAACTTCACTGCTGTTACCAAAAAGTAGTTGGGGTTGTAGTGTTAGAAGTGTCATACCAGTGGCAGTAGAAGTTGTTCTAACTGGTCTAATAATTATATGTTATATAATAAACAGCATGACTGATGTTCATAATAAATCATACAGACCAGGAGCTGCAGTAAATCCTCACATCAGGACTAAAAGACTAAAAGGGGGCGGCTGTGGTTCAGTCTGTCCACGTGTTAGTGTGCTTAACAAAAACACTGACTCCAACGGCATGTTATAGCATGATACACATACTGTATATATGGTCCTATAAGAAACTAAATGACCAAACGTTTGTCATAGCATGGCTGCAAATATTCAAAGCACATTCCTCTTTATAAGATATGTTTACCCTTTTTACAAGGTAACAAAGTTTACAAAGTAAATGAGGCCACAGGGAAAA